TGCGCAAACCATTTGTTTGTTTTTTGGTTTGTGTGGGGTTTTTTTTTTTTTTTGTTTTTTTTTTTTTTTTTTTTTTTTTTTATTGCAGCAATCAGTGTAGTTGCTGATATTTGAAAGCCAAAGCTTGGTGGTTTATGCTTTAGATCAGAGTTAGACATGTACTTTGCTTTTGACTTTTTAAGAGATTAAAATTTTGCTTTTGGATTGCTTTCTTTATGCCCTCTGAAAAAGCTTTGGGTATTGTGGATTGGAGTAGGAACTGGAAAACACCTGGCTACTCTGAAATAGTGATTTTAATCCACTTAAGTCAATTGTTCTTGCAATGGGGCTGACCCGCCTTATTTATTAAGGGTAGACAGTGCATGAGGATATTTCAACTGTAGAACTTTGTGCTACGTAAGAGGTCTGGTAATTCCACAAATGAGGTGTATGTTGAGAGATGTGCGACACCTGCTTGTGGTGAATAACCCGGCAATGTGTAATTCATAGGTTTGTGATGTTTTCAATCTGATTTTTAAATGGTGGAGACGAGTAAATTGCTTTTTAATGTGTAGCAGGCTGCTGAAAACTTTCTTTCCTTAACCAAGTGCCCTGGTCTTGATTTAAATTTCAGTGGACTTCGATTTTTAAATTGGAAAGACCTGAGTGCTGTTTTCTTGGCACACTTGTTAGGGCATAGGGCACAGGGCAAACAAGTTAATAGCTAAAGGTACCCCCATGTGCAAAGGGAGAAGCTAGAGGAGTAACAGCCTTAAATTTCGTGGTGTTGATGAGGTGCTAATTATTTTCTGGTCTGTCTGGAGTATGGCAGAAGAAATTTGGTTACATCTGCTTTTGTAAGTGACCTGGTCTTCCACCTTGTGACTTGATGAAAAGTAATGATGCCTGGTTTCACAGCACACATGTGGATCTGCTTTCCTACTCCTACGGATTTTTTTCTGGGCAATATAAGAATGGTAGTTTTACCATTACTCCTGTAGAAATGCAAATCAGCCACAGTTCTAAAGGATTCATTGGAAGCCTACACTGAAATAGAGTACCTCCTTAAGCTTCAGTTCTTCAGAGTGCAAAAAGGTTTTTTGAAACTTTTGATAAAGGTGACCTAAGTGTGAAGTATTTTACTCTTCTGTATCTTACTGAAAGAGAAAATGTAAGGGGACATATATTAAGATTGAGAGGAGACACAATAAAGCTCTGGCAATAGAATGTTTTTGTTATTTCCAGGAGGCACTCTTGAATTCCTTAGTGCTTCAAATGCTGCATAACATGCAGACGTTAAGGCTTCAGAAAAGTGAGGTTGATGAAGTAAACAGCAGTGATAACTCTTGCAAAAATCTGATGTGTACTGCAAGTTATAACTTGTATATATGGGTACAGGGTGTTCCTGGCTGGCAAAAATTGTATGTGTAGCTTCAGGAATGTAAAGCAAATATTATAATCCTGATTGTCTGTGCCAATGTGCAGCTTGAGTGGCTGGATCTTGTAGCATTGTATGTGACTGTTGCCATCCCACATCCAATATTGGTAATAAAAACTAGGAAGCCAGCAACTAAGGCTTTTTGTGAAGTTCATTGTTATTTTCTGTCACTATCAAACTGTGATATGGGTGGATTTTAATGCTGCTTTGAGCTAAAGAAAATATTTATAATCATATCAATATTAGCCACGTGTATTGAATATTCCACTTAATTTGATTTAGAAGAAATGCTCATGAATGTCAGATGTAAACATAAATGTTGATAGGGCCCAAATTTCTATTTCAAGGTCATATTGTACCTTAAACAAGCTAAAGGGTGTATTAATCTTGCAAATCTCATGGCATGAATTTGACACATCTAGAGAAGCTGGATTTAGAAAACATTCCAACATCTGTCTTTAATTTTAGCACGACATCAGCAGCATTATCTGATGGATATATGCAGTTTCTGCCTTATCAGTCAAGCTACTGTAATACAAAAATACTGTAAAGTACAGGATCTGTGAAACTATTATTAAAAGCCCTTTGTAGGCTAGCAGCACAGTGAAAAACAGCACAGCATGTGAGACTTGTTGCCAGCATCTTCTTTTAAAAGATACTGAGGGGCTGTTTCTTGGCAGGTTAAGATTTATGTACTGTTTTCAGATGCTATCGCACAGAATGATGTTGATTCAAAAAACCAAGGTATTGGCTTTCATACTTAGAATCACAAATTCCTAGTACAGTTAAGTACAACAGGTATTTTTAAACCATATCCTTTTAACTTCCAAATTACAAGATTTCTCTTTTTAAATACTTAGGTTTCAAAACTACCATGAAGCATTCAGAGTAAATTTGATTCTACCTTTTCTGTGAAAAATTACCTGGTCTAGGTTCAGTCTTACATGAAACATCTGTGGGTGGCTGGAGAGATCTTTGTCTGCAGCCACTAAGAAAGTAAGCATTCCTGATCAGCAGACAGCCAGAGAATACTAAGTGCCACTCTTCAGCTCAGATAGTAGTACTGGCAGACCAACTGAAGGAGTAAGGGAGTTCCTTGTAGAGAGTCCCAGTTAGAGGGTAGTGGTTATGTGGGCTCTTAAGGATATTGGACTCTGCCCATGAAGAAATTTGTTTCTATTGTTAATGATGGATGAGGAGTGTGCTAGTGTACATAGAGTACTGTGAGAAATAGTGTGTCTCTAGACCTTTGCTATTAGAAACCTGCATATATACATCTTCACTCCATTCTCCCCAATAAATTAGATTAAACCATGTAAATGTCTCTCTTCATTTGTAAAAGGATAAGTCTGTGTATGGGCAATTGCCATAGCTCAGTTACATGCTATATCTAGCTATTCTGTGTTACTTTAATTGCATATATGACAGACCATTGCAAGCTGCACAAGTTTGACACAGACTTCGTCAGCCAAGTTTGGGTAACATACATAAGATGGCAAAAGGGGTTTTATCAGCATTTAACCATTATCTGGTATTATCCTTTCACATCAGCTGTTCTCTCTCCATGTTGATGTTATCAATAACAACTGCAAACTTGGTTTGATTATTCCAATTGCTAGTATAGAAAGCTCAGCTCTTGCAATGTGCTTTCTTATTTTGCTGAAATTAATCCTGGGAAAAAACAAGACTTGAGAAAGGCAATCAGTATGAGCAGTACAAATTTGATGTGTACTCTTTTTAAATCTCTGAAGAGTGCTATCAAAAAGGGCATGTTTTTGATGTATTGAGTAGTGGGCTAAGGCAAATGTAATTTCTAGAAGTTCAGAGGTGTGGGAAATCAATACAAAATATTACATTGAAGGATACTGCTCCAGAAGACAGCCTGGCTTCAATAATTCAGATAGCTGCCATGGAAATGGATTTATTTCATATGTAAATAGAGTGAAGCACAAGCGGTGAGGGGTTTGGATATGAATTTTTCACATCTGTGGAGAAGATTTGGTTTTGTTTTAATAACATGAGGAGGAATGCAGGGATTGTTAAAATAACTAATTGATTGTCTTATTCGGTAGACTTGGTTAAGAAACCTATGGTTTTTCTCCTTTGTAATTGATGTGTTTATATTTTCTCTGTACAGGAAATCAATTTGAATGTATATAAGTGTAAGACTATTAAAATATTTAACCTGTCTTCCCCCTTTAGCTATGCTCCGTGGTGTCCAGCTTGTCAACAGATGGAATTGACATGGGAGAGTTTTGCAAAGGAAGGCAAGCATCTAGATATCACTGTGGGGAAGGTGGATGTCACTCAAGAACCAGGTATAGTATGAAATAGACCCTTTTAATGAAAGGGATTATTCAATTTAAGTACCACTTAGTATCTGGGAGTGTGGTTTATTTTACTGGAGTAGCTGGGATACCGGCCAAGTCAGAAAAGAGGTTTCTAAATCAAAATAACATTATCCACATTTTGTTTCTCCATATAGTTCGTATCTGTGAGCCTAAGTTTATAAACTCAATTTGAAGGATTAAAGAATTGGGGGAGTGATCTGGCTTAATACTGTATTAAAAGGGGCTTATTCTCTATTTTAATCTACTTCACTGAAAGCCATTGCCTGTCTCATTCCTGTCTCCTCCAAATAGTCTGGAGGAGAATCCAGTTCTGTAGGCTCCAGTTACTGAGAGTTTCAGGGTGTGGTAGCATTGCCACAGTGTGATCCTGCTTTAATAGCTTTGTAACTGGGATGGTGCTGGTTTATTGTCATCTTGTTTTCTGTCGGTGGTGCGCTATGCAAATATGTTTACAAAAAGTGTTTCCTAACTATCCACAGAAGCCTATGATCTTCATTTATTCCTTTGGTGACTCCCTTCAAAGTTTTGAATGTGTTTGTGTAAGCAGTACCAATATTGCTTAAACCTCCACGTCTCTTGGGAATGCTTCACGCTTGTTTTGGCTTTGAGGGGGATAAAAGATTTCATCAGCAGTATCAAAAGACTGACAGAGTTAGGCAGAGATATTACTAGAATAAAAAGGCTGGACTTTACTGATATATTTTTTTTGTTTTCCCTTTTACAAAGTGTGTGGAAAATGTGTCCATTTCACTAGTTGAAAACATGCCAAACAAGTTAGCTTTATCAAATTAACAGTGTGGGAATTACTTAGACTCTGGTCTTGGGTACAGCAATTTAAGCTCACAAGAAAATGGCAGCTGTTCTAGACCTTGTGTAAGTTAATGTTTTGTTAAAAGTTTAGAAGTATACAAAAACACTTATGCCAAAAAGCTGCCAATGTTGGGCTCTCCTTTAGTGTGTATACTAATCACTGACAGTATATTAAACAGATGAGTGTGAATATTAATTTTTTTTCATAGGTGTAAACTTAAAGCCATCCTCACATTAACAAAGCCATGGTTACTCTGGAGTTAAGGCTGCAAATGGGGATCTGTTATAATCCTGTCCTGTTATTCTCCATCTCCATTCTCCATCTCCTGGTTAGATGGAGATGCTTTTGCTTATGCAGTGTTCAAATAAAAGGATTTCAGTCTTGATTGTGGCATTTGGATATGATTGTAATTTAAAAATGCACCTTCAGAAGTGAAGCTGTAAAAATAAAGTACATGAGATCTTGATGGATTTATTCTTCCTGGTAAAAAACTTGAATGGCAGTGTTGGGACCTGAAAGGGTCAGGCACTTGATACTTTTTTTTGGTCAAAATTTTTCTGACTGGTGAGTGATGACAGATTCTTAAGACCTTAAATGTGACTTTTAACCGGAAGTTCCTTAAACATTTGAGGTTTTTAATGTTGCTGAGAATCTTGACCTCTGAGGATGTTTGACTTCTGTAAGTCAAAGGACTGACCCAAAATGATGAATTTGTACCAAAGCATGTGTAATATACCTACAATATCCAGTTCAGCACAAAGCATGAAAACTGTAGCCACTTCTAAAACTAATGAATGCTCAAACTGGAAAACAAAGGTTTATTACATATTTGACCTTAGGTGCTGATATAATTTTGAAGGAATATGAGCTCCCTTGGAAGCTTTCCAAAATTACTGAGTTTTTTTACTATAGGCTTATGCTTCAGCCTTTCGGTTGGTCTGCTTAAGTGCTCTATCTCCTGTTCTTGCTTACACAATGGTACCTTAATTAGCTTTGGTTATGTAACCCCATCATCAAACTGAAAGTAGTCAAAATGCGTTAAATTAAGGGAAAGCCTCTAGATGAGTGCAGAGTTGCGTAAAATTGCACTTCCAAAACCTGCGGGAGAAAGTAGCCATTCATGGTGCTTAATTACAGCAGATGCCTGAAGAATAAATCCACCAGAGCCTTAATGGATTTACAGCATATTTCAGTCACTTGATGCACTAGTCTTAAAGTGCTTATTCTTTCCTCATCTTTTCTATTGAAACATTCAGTATTTCAAGAGCATGTAATGGAGATGCTTCTGGATCTCAAAGTTCTGTATATTTGTGGTGCCTTTCTTAAGCTCCCAATCACAACATTTACCTGTGATTTAAAACAAGACTACTTAGATCTTCTGTAATCTTCTTTGAGTAGCTGTTTGAAACCAGCTGTATTTTTAGATGGCATCTACATTCTCTGTGTATTTTGGTATGTGGGGTGTGTGTGCAAATACTGAAGTTTTTTTCCCTGCTCTTGATTAGCTGTTGACTTCATAATGGACGTAGGTTAGTTTGTGATTTGCAAACAAAGATAAGTGCTAAACTGTTTATTTCAAGTTAAACTATTAACCAGTTCAAGTTTGCATTAAACACACACCAAAACAATTTAATATCAGTTCTTGGCTCTTTGTAGCTGGCTCACATCTGGTTTTATTGTTCTAAGGAGGTGCCTTAGATCAGCAACAAACCTCCAACTAAAGTTTTGGGGATGCTTAAATGCATTTTTGGCAACAGATTTTTATATTTTATTGATTGCGTTATTCGTTCTGAGACTGTTGGTACTTGCTCTAGGATAGGCTGCTGGTTAGGAGAGATTTAACCTAGCTGTTTTGTTTTCTGTTTGCCTGACTAGCATTTGTAAGAACTTCATAGAATCTTTCAGTGCTCCCATGACTTTCTCTGCTCTTAAGCTTATTCTGTTCCTTATGGCCCTCCACCTAGTTTTTCTTGTGCAGCTGTGCTTTCTGGTTGATTAATTCTACTGTTGCACTTGTGGTTTTGTTTAACTAATATCTCCTTGTGCTGGCACAGCTTTTAGCTGTTTTATAAAGTTTTCTACTACCTTGCCTGTCATAACAATAAAGGCAGAAAGCTGAAAAATTGAAATGAAGATGACTTCCTTCTTGGAACTGTAAAGATGCTTACACTTGATTTGATTTAAACATCCTCAAAAGTCCAAACAACTAAAAAAACCCACAACCCTTTTTTGCCTATTCCATAGGTGAATTCACACTAGGAAAAACATTACTACTGAAGCTTTTAAAAATACCTGGCTTAGTCCAGTATGGCTCATCTTTGTCTCTAAAGGCAGAAACTCTGTTGCTACAATACTTTTCCATGACTATCTTCCTGGTGCCAAAAGACGTTTGCTTTATTGAAAGCCAAATAAAGATTTAGTTTCCCAAAAGATTTTCACAGAACTTTATAAAAGGAAAAGGTAAATAACTGATTTGTACTCTTTACAGTGGTGTGTTCTATGACTGGCAATTGCTAGCTAGAGGAACGTAGCCCTTACTAATGCGTATCTAGGGGTTTTTGATCTCTGGTCTGCTGTATTTTTTTTCCAAAATAGACTGCATTACTAACACATTTTTAATTTCTGCAGTCTTTAAGTTGGATGTGTTGAATAGTAAACAGTATTACTAAGCACTAAGTCATACAGACAACCTGCTTATGAGATGTTTGGGAGCTTTATGCTTCATAGCTGACACTTTTGAGATTAAGCAATAGACTGGGAGATGTCAGTGGTGTACCTAACACAGCAGTGAAGCTGGAAGCACTTGCGCCTGTTACTCTGTAGCAGTACGGAGTGGAAGGCCAGAGAACTTCAAATACTTTCTCCCCCACAAGCTGCTTTTTGATGATTTGGATAATTTCTCTGTCTTAAAAGCCGCTGTCTGTTGTCTCTGTCTAGGGTGATACTTTTAAAAAGATTACTATGTATTTGCTAGTCAGCGCAACACACTCACTTTCAGTGTCGGCATCAATTCCAGTCAGCCTCTTGAAGCCGTACTTCAAACTTTCTTTGTCCTTTCTTCTGTCTTGTCTGATGCTCAAAATGCTGATGTGACCCACCCTTCTAGATGATGTTAAAAATTATTCTCATGGCTTAAACTTGCAATGTTTTACAGAACAGAATGCCAAGGCATCCCAAGCTTTATTATCAATCTGTTGGCATAACATTTGCATTTCCCTGGGCAGGAATGATCCAGGAACATCCAAAACGCTGTCTTGCTACAGCCATGTTTATGAGAGAGAATGAGCCTTCCTATAGGATATAAGAACAGACTGGTTGTGCAGTGTACATGAATTATTTGGAAGAAGCAAACAAGAAAATACAAAGATTAACTTATTTAATGACTTGAAGTACCTGAGATCTGAAATGTGAGGCTCTAAATAATTTAAAATCAGCTAGAGCATGACTTAAAATCAGGGGTCAGAGTTTGTAAGCCATTGTTGTCATTGCTATCATTGTTAGTGGCCCAACTTCCTAGATGAAGCAAAGGTCATCTCGATGAGACTACACAGACATAAGCACACAGCATCCTGGAATATGGGTACATTTGTGTGACCCTTCTTTCTGTTGGTTGGAGGGGCACATGCTGCTGGTCTGGTCAAAAACTTCAGCTGTGTATAAATATTGATTAGTGAAATCCATGTAGAAAAATTACCTTGTAGTAAACATTCTTCAAGGTAAGCATTTTTCCCTAATTTGTCAACAGTATTTAGTGTCTATTACTGTTTGTAGCATGTCTGAAGACAAACTGTAAACCTGTATTTACAAAACAGTGGTAAAAGCTATGCAGTCTTCTGCTTTTTAGTCCACAAATATAGATCTGTAGGTATTTATAGATAAATCAGAATGCTAAGAAATTTCAGTTTTACTTAACCATTTGATGTGGTTTTTTTTCTTCCCTTTCTAGGTTTGAGTGGTCGTTTCTTTGTCACAACACTTCCTACAATTTACCAGTAAGTGTGTCATACTAGAAACAGTTGTCCGTCTCAGTATGTATTCTTTTTTCCTGATCTGTTTGAACAGTGGCATGGCAGGTGTAATGAACAACTGGTTTATTTCACTTTTGTCAATCTCTACAAGATTTCTCTGGAGCTCACTGGAGCTCAACACTTAATGAACATAAAGTATCTATTTTTAACTTCTGGTGGAAGGTTCTTCTACAGATGGTTTTGTACCTAGATAAAAGTGATGCTTTTTCAGTCTGGAAACAACATTTAATAGCGTTTGTAAAAAAAAAAAAAAAAAAAAAAAAAAAATGGTGCAGGTTTGCAGTATTGGCTTCTAGAAACCTGACCATATGTGAGCAGACATGCTTGACCTTATATAAGTGTCACTAAAATTTCTCATTTGAATAATTAACTGGATAGGTTGCATGTAAAACAGTACAGAAATTTTCCACTGTTTGTTGTACTGCTTCTCTTACTGCTAGAATTCTTCATCTGTTGGCTCAGTACCAATACGTAGCTGTTGACTCGTACTTGTCACTTGTTTTAAACTGTAACTCTGAAATGCAGGTAAGAATGAAGAAATACTGACTTTTGATTTCAGTTCAGGTTATTATTTAGAGCTTTGATTGTATTGATAAAGTCCTCATCTGAGGCTTTCCTTTAGTTTAAGTGACTTTACTGAGTTCCCCTGTTATCAGCACTGCTAAAACCAGGTCAGTAAAGATGCTTGCTGCATCCCTTCTCCCATAAAAAGATGTCATCCTTTAAACACTGAACCCTTTATTAAGTTGTGGTATTGTGAGTTGTGCATATATACCCACATGCACATATATATACATGCTTTTAATTCTGAGTTGTGTCTAAAAATATTTTGGTTGTTAACCTCAGGTGCTTTGTATTCACTGCAGTGCAAGTGAATTCTTATTTAAGAAAAATAGCATTTTTAATAAATGGCGAAACTCATGCTGTTTAAAAACAGAGACCTTCCATCATGGATTACATGTTGCTGAGGTGTTCAACTTTCTGAGCAAGTCAAATCTATAATGTACGTGGATCTGTTGGGTTTTAGTTTTTACCATAGATATAGTTTAAGGGATACCTGTATTAATGCATGTTTTTTGTTTTTTAGTGTAAATGATGGAGTATTTCGCAGATACCGAGGCTCACGGACATTGGAAGATCTTCAAGGTTACGTTTTAGAGAGAAAATGGGAAGCTGTGGAGCCTGTAGCAGGATGGAAGTCTCCATCTTCTATAATGTAACACTTTGTTTTTTATTAACAGCAAACATACATTATAGCTCATTATTCATCAAGGGTGCTATGTTGACAGCTTAGAGACAAAAGGCCTTTATTCCGTAGACATGTAGGCTTTGCAGAAGCAGTCTGTATTGACAGCCTGCTTCCCAGTTTCTCAGCTTTTTAAAGCATTTATTTTTCTGCACTTGCTTTTGTTCATGCCTACCAAGGCTTGCTTATATAATCTTTGAAAATACATAAAGAAAAAAAATGCAGCCACTGAGCATTATGTAAGTGTCAGTTTCAATATCTGCTGAGTACTGGAATGAAATGCATGTTCCTCTAGATTGTTACTTCATGACTTCTGGCTACTCGAGGCAGGCAGCCTTTAGCTTTAAGGATTTCTTGTTCATTTGTTTACAAGGAAGTCTTGAGTCCTCCCTTGGAATAGGAAACAGTGTAGTGCTTATGCAGTGTATCAAATTTGTTTTTAGAGCATTGGATTCGCTTTGAAAGAGCATAGAATGCTTGCATGGTGTAAACGATGAACCAGAGATGTGAATGTCCTGCATTTCATTCTGGCTAAAGCTATTGTGTATAAATTCATGGCGGAGATCCAGCAGGTGTCCTTATTTTTCATCTGAGGATGAGGAAGAGTTATACGAGGTTTAGTAATGGGGAGAGGAGCTACAGGGCTGCATGCTGATTTGGGGAAAAGGTGGTTACAGCTGCACAGGGTTAAGCTGTGGAATCGGTATTTCTTGATTGTGCTCAGATGTCATCTTTCAAGTCACTGTTCAATACTTTGCATTGTGGTGGCTTAAATGAACATAACACAGAGAAAATACATGTAATTTGTCAGAGGAGGTTACTGCAAATACTAGGGGCTGAATGGCATTGAAATTCCATAGATAGAATCCTTTTCTGGTTTCTGGGCAGTTTGCTGTGTATATCAACTCCTGTCTGTCTTAGAATCTGTTCCTTCCTTTGTTTTCTAGGATGCATGGCATGGCGGGACTATTTCACCTCTCTGGATGGATCAGGGTAAGTTACTATGTGGTAGCATTTTCCATACCTCCTCTTTATGCTTAGAATAATATTCTGTTTAGAACTCAAAGCCTAACTGAATATTTTTGTTGTCCTTTTATGAGAGTAAATTTTTCTTACATTCACTGTACATTGGGTGTGTAGTATCTTTACACTATAAATTTTGTAGTATTAACAGACTGTGCTAAAAATGGCGGTTTGATTGTAAAGATTATCAATACTGAAAAGTACTTACTGTTCTTATTGTCTTGGTATAGTTGAAGTGTTCTATCAATGTGTGCTAACATGATAAAGTAGTTCTCTGAGAGCTGCTACAAAAATGGTTGTAAACATCAGTAATACCTTTAATATCTACCAGGTTCTCTAATGCTACTCCTAAAATTATACCCAGGTTCTTTTTAAGAGGTGTCTATTATGCTCTTCTGCAGTTCATTTGCACCTAGTGTAGTGTACAGGAGAAGAGAAGAGAAGGGTCTTATTCTTCAGTAAGAATTTCTACATCTGGATTTCAAAATAATGCCATTTGCATAGGAACACAACAAATTTGGACAGTAGAGTAATTGTTAGAGGTAAAGGAGAAATGCTTAGTCTACACTGAAGTATGTTTTGAGCTTAAAAATATTTCAAGACGCTTTCGTTTGGGAGTGATCAAAGTTTTTCCTGTAGCATGCAGATGCTGAGAATTTTCAGACCTTTCCAGTTTTGGTCAGGAAACACTTCCTTAAGATCCTCAAGTGTAGCCAAGATTGAGAGACTATATTTGATTGTAGCAGAAGATCTTAATATTGTAATGTGCTACAGAAAAGAAACATAGTAGTTTGAACAGAGTTCGTATCACTTCCAGTAAGCATCTGACTAACCCAGAATCAAACAAAACTTGCAGTTACTAGGTTTCCTGTGCAAGCGATCTTTGATTCTTTCTTTCACTGGACAGTATTAACTTTTTATAGCCTTCTGGCATTTCTCTTCCACGGTTGCTGTGTAATGATGTTGTCTCGTCTCTGTCTAGTTTCCTTCCTGAAAGATTAAATGCTCTGGGAAGAAACCTTCTCTAATTTGCTTTCCGCTTTGATGAATATTTCAGCTATACACTTCCTCACTCTTCTTGCTGTGCTGTCCTTGCATGTGCTTTAGTAAATGTTGGAAGCTGTTCTGACATTTACCAAAAAAAAAAAAAAAACCCAACCTGGAATTTCAATATTTAAACTTTTGTAAATGTTGATTGTGGTTTGCTTTCTAATAGATATATTCTTGGAAGAGGTCTAATGTCATAATTTACTTCCTACCAGACTATCTGACTCTGTGATGCTTGGTTCAGTCAATTGAATTTTTAGGTATTAGTAACAGACTTCACTTTCAAAGAAATCTTAATGTGTTTGGATTATTCTCTTTACATTTATATGTGAAATCACTTATTCAGTATCCGCTTAGAATGGGCGGCTCCTTTTAAGAACTAAAGAGCTTGAGTAAGAACTAAATGGCTCAATTTTAGTTAATGAATTAATTCCCAAATTTTAAGTATGTATTTGGATTTTGTGCTACTTTATCTACCACTCTGCTTCCCAGATACAATTTTGGGGTAAAGTCCTGTATGAGGTTACATTTTTTTCACTTGGTGATGTACTTGTGAAGTTGGTATAAAAGCACACTTGCTTTTAACCTGACCTGGTTGCTTTTTTGTTTCTGAAATGTTTTAAGTTCTAAGTTACCTTTTTTAAGTACTCAGCTTTGTAGTCTTCTGTGACTGTCATTATCGGTGTGGCTTACTGTATGGTCTCCTTCCTACAACAGAGGCCATAAGAACAGATGTGCAGCTCATCTAGCCCAATAGCCTGTCTCAAAACAGTTGCCACCTTCTTACAGAATATAAGGATCAAGAATGTTGTGATACTTTCCTGTGTGCTCTGGGCCTTCCTCATACATTTATCTGCAGTAAGGTTATGCATGGCATCTCTGATGCTGAGCACGTTAGGAAGAAAGAATTGGGCATCCTTTGCTTAAAAAGCCTTTTAATGTGAACAACTCAGTAAAGAAAAACAAGATTTAATGGTATCAAAAGAATTATAGTATGACTTTTAAGGATGACTAGGGCTTGAAAGGGAAGATTTTAGTATGAATACCGTTAAATGTCTTGATTAGATATCAATTTATGTAATGGTGACAGCAGTATAAATCATAAGTGGTGTTAAGTATGAAGTTATTAATTATCATCTTCTCATTTCCAGCAAATTCATAGCTACCTCACTGGCACTCTTGGAATTCATGTTTGGATTTCTTATACAATCTTCATCTTAGCTACCTTATTGATTGGCCTGTTCCTGGGTTTGGTAAGAAAGCATATTACTTTCTTTTTCTCAGTTACCTAGAACTTTTGCTTTGCATTAACTTGTGGGGAAAAAAACCCACAATTTCACTGATAAGATATAATGAAGTACCTTATTTTAATGATTTATCTCTTCTCCCTGGTATGCAGTGATGGGTTGTGTGGGAATGATTCAGAGCTGCACCAGGGGACATTTAGACTGGACATTAGGAAGCATTTCTGTACCGAGAGGGTGGTCAAACACTGGAACAGGTTTCCTAGGGAGGTGCTTGGTGCCCAGTGCCTGTCAGTGTTTGAGGCATTTGGACAATGCCCTTAATAATGTGCTTAAACTTGGTCAGCCCTGAATTGGTTAGGCGATTGGACTAGGTGATCATTGTAGGTCCCTTCCAGCTGAAGCAGTCTCTTCTATTAAAATTCTGAAGTATTCAGTACTGCAGATCCACTCTCTAGTGTTGTTACCTACTTCTGGTAAAGGTTAGGACTGGTTCACTCAAATTAACCTTTTTATGAAATTCATGCTTCAATTTAGACTTTAGTCCATCCACTAAACAAGTGACTTTTATATTGGCCTTTTGTATCCAAGGCTTTTGTACTTAAGGCTTGAATGTGCATGGTCAGAATTGTGTAAAGACTCCAACTTTCTAAAAACACAGACTTTGTGGAGACATTTTTATTAACTGGAGTGGGATTGTATTTGTGGGAGTTAGCAATGTAAGTATGCTGCTGCACTGTTACTTGAAAGGATGGAAATATTTTTCAAAGGCTTTGAAGATTTGGGGGTTTAGTTGATTTACTCTATTCCAGGGCATAGCTTTGTGGTTACAGCTTGATTTTAATAAAATCTGATTTCACTTCTTTCTCTCCTATGATCTTTTGGCATGAGTTCTCATTAGGAATTGAAAAAATCTGGCCTCTTGCTACTAACCAGAACTGGTACATTCACATATCAATCTCCAAAACATCAGGAAGGTTATTCAAACAAACCTGTTAGCTTATATATGTGAATGTTAAGGACCATATCCTGATCCCTATGTTGTTTCGTGAGTCAAAACAGTTCAAAGTTGCTTTATCTGTGGAGCTGGGATTATTTCCTCTGAGAATATTTGAATGATGTGGCTCAATGACCTCTCCCATATCAATATCAAATAAGAAACTGAGCTGGGAGAGACAGGTGGGAATCGAAGTTCTTTCAGACTAGTTGCTTGGTCCACAAGTGTGTTCTGCAACTGCAAAGACAGTTTAAAGCAGTTATGCTGATAACTGGTTTAACTAGCTGCTAAATCTCCATTTCATGTAGGAATTGTAAAGGCTGTTTCTGGCACTTGGATGTCTGCCCTTCAGCCTGAATATTGGTGTCAGTGAAATAAAGAAAAATTGCATGAGTGTGTTTCTCAGTAGTACAAGGAAGTGATTTCAAAGCAGTGTGTGTGTATTTAGACAAAACCACGTTTTTGTATGTAATATGTGTACAGTATTGGTATATATGAGCAACTGTCTTAATACAATTTAAACAGCTACATTTTTCTAGATGGTAGATTTTCATCACCAAATGACTGCAAATCAAGTTAGCGTAACTAGGAGCAAATGAATACGATGATTTAAAAAGAAGTCCTACCTCCTTCACGAAAGGGAAAAAAAGCCCTGAAAAAATGTAGAGTTAATCTCTCAGCTTTTTAAAAAAGCTTTTCAGTGATTGAAATGTATTTCTTTAACATGTTATCATCTGTCTCTTTTCTTTCCTTTGCATTACCCTTAGCACATGACAATGAGACACAAATATCTTCCTTGCATTTTGATTGTATGTGTTCTACATTGGGCTGCTTTAGCAGCAACAACAACAGAAAAGAACTAAAAGACAAAATCAAGCACAAAAGGTGGAAGTACACAATCATGTACTGGGGAGTCAGGTAGGAATTGAATAATGACCCAAGATATAGAAAATCTTGACCAGGAAGGCTTCATAAGTTTTAAATAAATAAAAATTCCTCAACTGTGTTCTGGGCCTCTCTTCTTAAGATGCAAGCCATTTCAATACTGAATAAATTTAGGGAAGTAGGAGGCAGAAAATTTGGAGTAGAAAGCAGAGAATGATGGTTGATATACACTGAGAACACACTTCTTTTCAGTGCTTTTATTTAGCTCCTTAGGACAGCTCTTGTCTCTGAGCAAGATAATAAAACTTCCTAAATTTTATTGTATGTCTACCTGAAAAGGATGAGTAGGAAAATACTTAACAGTGCAGGAGCTGCTGGGATGGTTTGCTAATAAATGCCTTTTCTTCTCCTTTACACAGATACTGGTTTTGATTTCAGACTGCCTTTGCCCATCCAAGTCAAGATACAGAGCTGAAACATCTGGTAAGAACTCTTTTAAGTGGGTGAGATACTGTAGGTTTAAATGTACACTTGGGGGAGGGAGAACTTAGATGTGAACCAATGTCAAGAAGTTCTTAGATATCAAGAAGTTAGATGTGAACCAATAATCCAGGTATTCATTTTAGTCACACTGATGAGGATTAATACGTTGGGCTCTCAAATATTGATGTCAAAGCATCCAAGTGGAGGATAGCAAAGCAGACAAAAAAACCCTCCAACAGCAACTTGTTCTAGCTTCTACATCTGTGAAGAGGCTAAATGTATTCAAAATGAAGAAATTTGGAAGAAAGATACTGGGTTTTGTGTATTTTATGCACGTGCATGCTCACTTAGACCTGTTGCTTAAATATAGAAAGGAATTTGCTTTGGCAGGACAATTCCACATCTTAATATGCATTCTGTATATTGCATTATTCAGTTCTGCTTGGGAGGATTGTCACAGTCCCACCATCTCCTCTGACCCTCAGGCCACTCAGGAGTCCCCTGGTGACACCTCCTTGACCTGCTGTGAGCTCAGCATGAGCTGACGCTATTCTGGTGCTCAGCGAGAGGACAAGGGGCAATGAGTACAAACTGAAAAAGCCCGCCTGGATGAAGTCCTGTGTAACATGCTCTAGGAGTACCTGCTTTAGCAGGGGGGTTGGACTAGATGATCTCCCGAGGTCCCTTCCAACCCTTGCCATTCTGTCATTCTGTGATTCTGATTAGGAGATGCAACATTCTGAACCTGTAAAATTCTCTGCGCAACTTGTGGTTGGGGAAAGAGGGATATAGAGGGAATCAAATGAATCTAGAGACTGTGAGTGTGGAGACGGGGAAAGGCATTGCATTTCCTTCAAATAAAAGAAGAAAACATCTTTCTGATCCTTAGTAAGATGGCTTCTGAATAGTATTGTGTTCCTTCTGAACATGGGAGGCAAAAACTTGCACACGAAATAGTCTCTTGTCAGCACCAGATATGTGTTAAGCTCTGGAACACCTTTTGGTACATTTGTGCTATTAAATGGAGTCAAAACTTAACTGTAATTAAATATGTATTTAATTCTGTACCTTTGTGTATTAGTTTGTTGTTGAAGATGGTGCATCTGTGATGCTTGCCAATAAGACTAGCCAAATCTAGAATTTATAAGTGTGCAAAATTACCATGTTCAAAAGCTTAGATGTTCATTACTATCAAAAGGCGCCTATGCATGCTTGTGCAGTATGTGATCCAGTTGGCTGGTTGACTCGATGACAGTGCTTACCAGTATCTTATTGCTTTTCCACTGATTTGTTTTGATAATGATACCTCTTCAAGGAGCCAAGTAAACAGACCCATCCTTAGTTTGTAACTTGGTGGAACAAAATGAAAGCTATCTATGCCCAATATGCAAGAAAAACAAGTGAAAACGGAGGAGAAATACTACTGAAGATTTATTTGAAATAACTGAAGAATAAGGAAAATAGTCTTATACAAGTTTTCAATAATAACAATGAATATTTCAGAATACATGGTGATGTAACTTTAAAAGACATTGTTCTGAGATTCAGTCTAACTTCAGTATTTGAAACTCTTCTTTTGTTTAGAAGAAGCAATTACAAAGGATAATGTGGAGAATGCAGCATTAGAAGAACCAGAGGAGACTGCAGAGCTTTCTGCAGATGATGCGGAAGAGACTGCAGATGTAAAAGATCTCTCAGATGGAGAAGACGCAGCAAATTCAAGTGCTGATGACTCAGAGGAGGATTTAGCACTTGGAAAAGAATCAGGGGAAGAAGAAATGGAAGACTTAAGTGAACAACCTTTAGCTGATTCAGAGACTGAAAGCTCAGTAAGACAGCGTAAAAGTCAGGTGGCTGATAATGGACTATAGTTGTTTTGGTGGTATATTTTGTACACTTGGACCAAAGAAGTGTCAGACCCTGCGTCTGAAGCTGAAGCGCTCACTTGATTTGTCATTTGTGTTTACGTAAAACCTCTGCTCTGTCAGCAGGCTTCTCTTTTTTTTTTTTTCTTTTTTTTAAGTTAATACTTGCTTATTGGGTTTGTTTTATCAGCACGTCTGCGTATCCTGTAACTTTAGCCATGACAATCAAAATAAGTATATCTTACCTGTCTGAAGTTTTTTTAAGAGAAAAGGGGTGTAAGAGAGTCTCAGTTCATCAGCTATAAAAGGGTCATCTATGCTTGTGTTCCTTTGTACGTACGGACCCTTAGCAAGACCAGGACATTTAACTCTTTACAGTAGCTTGGCAGGACTGTGACTTTTCTGTCTGAATGTTTATTGTTTCCAAATACCACAGAAGCACCAGATAAGTGATACAGTAGTGAAAGAAGGCACCTTAATAGTCTGCTGTTAAAAGTGTTGTATATGATGGGTTTATTTTTATCACTTTCAACTGAAGCACCTTTCTCTTTCATTTTTATTGATGTTTGTACAGTACACCCCCAGATTCTTCAGTTTTTGGTAATTTGGAGGCATGCTGCACAGCTTGAGCTTGTCAGCTGCGTTTTTTGACCCAAGGAGTTTGAGTAATTGAAAACCTCAGGCCGAGAAAGAGTGGCAGCTAAATGTTTAAAATATGTTTGAACTTTTAAAAAGCTTAAAAGAAAATTATTTTGGTCACAGAGGGATTTTTGCCAAAGCATGACTTCCCTCCCCCCCGCCCCCCTTCAAGTGATTGTAGCAAGAAGTATTCACTTTGCAGTCAGTAAGCTGTATATTTCTTGTCAGTACAAGCTTGTCATGTGCAGTGCAGTTCTGCCATTTTCAGCTTGGAATACTTTTGGCAGAAGTCAAAATGCTTTAGTAATATTCACTGAAGAGGCACTGAAAGTTTTATCGTTGATCACTTTTCCACTTCTTGTCACTGGAACCGGCATGTTAGGAAAAAAGAAGAGACCTGGGTGGGTAATGGGGAGAAGCTTTTGGTTGCTACTTATATCAAGATAAACTTGTGTCTATTGAACTGTGTAAAGTGAAAACGGCTTGCCAGGTAGACAGCATTAGCTGTGGTTAGCAGACTTAAGTCATTAAAGATAACAGTATTTCCCTCCTTTGACTTGGTTAATCTAGAAGGCTTTTTTTGATAAGGAATACCTAGAGTGAGATCCTGTATGTTCCTATTTTGTTGATGTGCGATCACATGTGTAAGATGTTTCTCAATCTTGTTTTTATATATATATATATATTTTGCATAAATCTTGTTAATGTGCATGAATTTCATCTTGTTCTTCAAGAATAAAGAGTAATCAGAGATGAAATCATCTCTCATTAGAAGAGAGAACTTGCAAGTGCAAAATGCTGGTTTCCTTTGAGACTAATAGGGCTAACTTGTGGTGTTTCAGGTTTTTTTTTTAAATGTTTATAAAGAGCATATAAGAAAGCTTAACTTTTCCTGTCTGTGTCCTGTTGCATATTGTGTCTTGGAACTATATGGTAGAAAGTTTGCATTGGTCTTTTACAGCTGTGCAAAGAACAAAAATACACTGCATATATTGAATATGAATTTTCTTAAGGAACATTCTCAGTCTGGAGCTTGAGTTTCATATAGTGGACATGTGTAAATATGCTTTCACGTATGTGAAAACATACAGTTGATATACATATATAAATTGCACTATAATGAGAACAGTTTGTTTTCTGTTACTTGTGTGTTGTCCCATGAGCAATTGTAGAAGCTTGCAGACAGCAGAACTCAGTAGCAGTTGTGGTACATAGCAGTGTTTGTGGTTTTGTTAAAAAAAAAAAAAAAACCCCCAAAAAACAAAACCAACCAAAACAAAAAAAAACCCAAAACCAAAATGCCAAACTCAAGCTTTTTATTTGCAAAAATGAAGAAAACTTTGTGGCCATTGTAGTCTGGAGGGAAGAACTGCACCTAAAAGCACAGAGTACAGATTTGGGTTCTTTTTTTCCATTGTATATTTGCTTTTTTCATTATCTGTGCATCAGGAGCTCATGAAAGTCTAAAATGAAAACAAAACTACAACCGTATTTCATGAGACAAGCAGGAGTTGGTGTGTATATTCAGTTACATGAACTTGCATAAGGGAAGAATGGGCATATCCCTTCTGTCGTGGATCCAAAACTACCGGGCGCTAAAAATATGTGGGACTGTATCCAGCACAGATTGAGGGCAATGATGACTTTGGTTGTGTACCAAAGAGGATTTTTTATACTATATAGGGTCTTGTGATACTCAGTGTATAGGACGGAGCATGTCAATATTAAATTTTGATGCAATTTCTTTTCACTTTTTTTAATAAAGTGGAACCAGTCATCTGAAATCATCTTTAGCTGTTTAAAGAGGTTTTAACTTTAAAAAAATACAGAACATCCTTATACCTCACAGTGGCTTTGTTGTATGCTGTTGGGAATGTGAAGTATTAAAAAGTCAAGCGTACATCTCTTCAGTGCTCAAGATGAGGTATTTGGGCTTTTTGAATGTTTAGACACATAAGGTGTTCTCACAAGAGTTGGGTTTCATTATGGTGTCTTTGAATTTAAAAAACAAAGCAAGCCACAAACCACAAATGACTTTGTCGTACAAGATACATGGTTTATGAGATGCTGCAAGAAAGATCAGAAGCTCCTGTGTGTGGTGATCCTCTGAAGTCTCTGCTTAAATTTCCTCTTGTTTTTGCATGTCACTTAAGTTTGGATTATTTACAATGAAGGTGTTAACTATTTTCCATCATAATAGACCTAACTGGAAGATCACTGTCTGAGCAAGGATTAAGTAAGCAGGCAGCAAGTGACAGCAGTTCCTCTCTTCATAGATCTGTCTTGTGGCTCTGGAAATGGGCAATTTTAGGCTTCTAGGGTTTCTTGAACATAATGTATATGTCATTGCTCCTGTGTTGTCATGAATAAAGTAGGGAATATTAATGCTAACCTGGGTTTGACTGTATATGTATGTGTATATGTATATGTATTTATATATGTATATATATATGTACATGACATATACATATGGCATGTACTGGAGTATCTGGTTTCAAAGATCACTAAATTGTGATTAAGACTCTACAGATCCTATGCAACCATTGATAGCTCCAACTCAGTTGAACTTTTGTAGGAAAAAGTATTGTAGCACAGTACTGGAGATACTCAAGTTTGACTAATGTTTGTCTGGCAAAAAATAAGTAGCAAACACTGTAAAGGCTAAATTTGTGTTTAACAAACCACTAGCTCTGCAGTAAGAGTATGATGTTACCTTCCACAACTAGGGTTTTTTCTACTAAAACACATTTTAATTGAATCACACAAGTATAGTACTAATTAGACTATTACAACAGTATTAAGCTTGGTCTGTTTCCAAAGAAAAAAGTCAGTACCAACCTTTTGTGCAATCTGAATGTTCTGTTATCTCTGTCCTCTGTTATGATTAATTTTAAAAAATGGAACTTGTTCTTGCAACCTCAGTATAGACAAAATGTCCTTGGAGAAGCTGCTGCTAACACTGTTCAAAATGTTTTGATTAAGGAGAGGGCTGTAAGGCTTGTAAACTAGAGCTGTATGTCAAAAAATTACTTAAGATTTTTGAGAACCAATTTGAATTTCAAATGGGATGCATGCCACTCTGAAAACCGGTCCCTGATGGATCTGAATGTGAATGCTTAAAAGCAACTTATTCAGAAATATCCAGTGGGTTACTTTTTAAAGAGGGTAGAAATATATCCAGCCTTTCAAAACACCTGTCCTCGAGAAATGTGTGAAACTTGTACGCGTGTCTTGGAATACTCTGTATATGCTGCACCCGTGCTGGGCAGTGCTTGTTACATGGGCTTCCTGCATGAAAGTGTTACACAGGATTGTCTTTCATATAAAAGTTTGCAAATTTATACTATGGGTATTTTTACTGAAATTCCATATAAATTTTGTATTTATGATCATCTTGTAGTTAGTTTTCATTTTCTCATTGTGCAGCTCATCTGTGTAATTAACAAAAGGTTATTTTTTTCAATACTGATCTTCCAATTGATAGCAGAGGTTGTAACTTGTGAAGATTCCTTAAACTCTTTAAAACAAACCTGCACACTAAGGAATTGCTTCCATCTTACATGAGTGAAAAAACGCTTACCTGGATTGAGGAATTCACTGTAGTAACTCTGGGCTGAGCAGTACGAAGGTATCTCGAAGGTATAAAATGCAGCTGGGGATCAAATGCAGGCTGCCGGGCAAAACAGTGTAACTCTGAACCCTTGAGGGCTTTGCCTGTGTACCTCTACGTTAGGTTAGTTTCCCGCGCTCCCCGAGAAATCCACAAACTCTGCAAATCGTGTGCTAACTCTTTCTGGGATTTGGAGGACATTTCTCCCTACTGACGTGGTCAAAAAGAAGCATGTAGATCTAAATGGCACATTTTCTGATTGTAGTTCACAGCAAGCAGTCATTGCTAAAGAAATAGGTGTGCTGGAGGGAGAAGTGACTGCCAGGAACCATTGCTGCAATGTACGTGGATGATGCAAACGACCACTGGATCCAATGCACAGATTCGCTTTCTTCAGGTGAGTTACCTGAACTGCCTTTTGCTGTCAACAGAACTGCTGCGTGGGTTGGGTGATGCGCCATTCACTTTGGGCTGCTGCTTTTCTGTTGCGTTGAATTCCCAATGTAAAATTGAAGGGAGAATGGTATCAAATTAAGCCCTTGGAAGCATTTCGTTGGTTTACTGTTGAAATAGCTGCTTCTTGTTCTGTCTTGTGAGAATATGAAATTTTCCCAAAGAAAACACACAGGTGGAATACTACAATCAAAATCTGATAGGGTTTTGAAAATGACTTTGTTTAAGCAATCAGACAAACGTAAGCTCTATTTTTATAGAGGAAATATGAAGATAACTCTCTGATGGCTGTACTGGAGAGGTAGGAAAGCTTGTTTTCTATCTTGGAATTTTGAACTGGGCCAGTGGTAACTCCCAGCTGCGGCAACGGGGCTGCCCAGTAGTGTGTGCTGCCTCCTAGGAGCTGATCACACATTGAAAATTAAAAGCTGTGTGACTTTGCAGCAGGTCTTTTGGCTGCAGCATGGTAGTGGGAAGGAAATGGATCCCCTTCTTTTCCCTTTTCTGAGTATTACCGCCTCTCTCACACATGCACGCAGAAAAAACGCCAGGATGCTTGGCTGTGATGGGCTGCCCAGGGGGAAGCAGTGCACATCCCTTGTGATGCTTTTGCAGCTCTTCCCAGGAGCTGCCTGCCTTTTCTCCAATTTTCTGCTTACCCTTCCGCTCCTAACCCATCACGCACCAGCGGTTCATTTCTAAGTTCGCTTGCTTGGGAACCAAGTCCGCTGATACCTTTCGTTCCCTTCTCTACAGGGTAATGAAAAGGGTTCTGTTTTACTTTAATGAAGGCTGTGGTGACTACTACTTTTAACCATACATCTTAATTTCTCTCCCAGTAGAAAACCACTTGAAAAACTGTGTGCTTTACTTTCACTTCGTCTTTCCTGAGGAGAAAGGAAAGCTCTGTATTTAAACACACGAGGAACAAATGGGGATTTTGTAATCAAATATTTTCATTTAAATTTCCATTTTATATGGAAAGGCCATTTTTCTTGGCTCGTTAGAATTTCTCAGAGCCTGCTGGTACTTTAGACTTTTGCACCTGTTAATCTGAATTCCAGCAGGGGGTGAGAGCTGAACCTAGGCACGGCTGATCGTCTTGGCACAGGCCGTGTCAATCACTCGTATGCTTGCAGAGTATGCAGAAATGACCATGGTCATTCAAAGTGTCTGACTGTCAGTCCCCCATCAAGGATGTGAAAAGATCATGCTCGGTAAGGGCACTTTTAATGTCTGGTTATTGCTGTGCGGTTGGGGGGCCAAAAATGGTGCCGAGAAGCACTTTGTAGATCTCCCCTGGATTGTTTTCATTGTACTTGGTTATCCGGATCCTCCCAGGAGAACTGTTCCTCCATTCAGTGCTTCAGTCTCCCTCCACCCCGGTGCTCCACAGACTTCCTGACTGACTTCAGAAAATCGATGCTACTTGGGGCTTGTTAGGGCCACCTGCTCGTGGTTTATGCTGAATGGCCAAGAAACTGTCCTCATTCCTGCAACAGGTCCACCATTTCCGACTCTCTCTCATGCTGAAGTCACAAAAATTTTCTGTTAATTCTTCTGACTTGGAGGGGCGGAATTAAATTGGTTCAGCTGTGATTGAGGTGAGCTACTCACTGAAAACACTTCACCTTATAGTGTCCAGAATCTGTAAATGGGTATTTTCTGACTTTATTTGGAGAAATTCACAAACACCTACGGGGCATTTGGAAGTCAAACCAGCCACTTACGTAAGTGAAGTTACTTAATAAAACAGCTTTGCACAACAGTCTTGAGAAATAGGTAATCGCTGGGACATTGAAATATATTCATTATATACTGCGGTTAACTTTTCCAGTTAATCTTTACTGCAGTTAACTGAAGTGAGAGAACCCCAGCTGACTCATCCTTCCCCTATGGAGGTTTTTGCATGTTGACAGGAATCCGTTGACATTGTCTCCCTGATCCTGCAGTAGGACACAGTGGTTCAGACTAAAATGCCACAGAGATCTTCCTCTCTCTAGCAAATAACGTATGTAAGGACAAACATGTTGTAGTATTCCTTAGAACACTTTTTTTGGCTTTTGATTGGAGCACTTTCTAAGCCAGAAGTTGTATATCCGTGTTTAGTAGCCCTCTGTGAGTTTGTTTTTCTCCTGTAATTTGTAATAGCCCTTTTTTGAACCAAAGTGCAAAGAGTTTCCTTTGCAGACCCTGGTTCAGCCCAGCTCCAGTTACATGACACAGCTCTCCTTTG